AACTTATGATCAATGATCAGCCTAACTTTATGCTACAGCCACGTGATCGGTGTATGACAAGACTGATATATAGACTATATGTTAAATACAATAACCAGCTATGGTTGAGATGTGCAGCTGACTGTACTGTCTGCAATAATGAATGACTCACTTAACGTCAGTGCTAATTAAAAAACAAACAAACAAAAAAACTCATCAAAACATAGCCTGTCTCAAAGAAACACAGATTAAAGGAGGAGCTTCAATAAAACTGTCACCAAAGACTAGCTGTGTTGTGCTGATGGACTAAATTCATTTCTGGGGATAAAAACTCTGACATTTACACAGTCAAGGTGTTATCCTATTAAGTATAGAGGTTTTCCAACATCCCAGTAAAAACGCATTAGCTTTCATGTTTTTTGCTGTCAGTCATTACATAAGACTGCGTGGTCGGCGTATTTTTTTTGTTACATGCTCAAAACCTCAATTAGTCTGCAAGCTAAGTCCTGAGGATGACTCATTACTTTAATAACAACCCATCGTGCATTTTACTTCTATGACAACTATCATTTTGTCAGGGTAGCTCTCTCATGCATGTGGTGATTGTCACATGTTTCTGACTGTTGGTTCACATTTCTAGTCATCCCCTGCTGCACAGCTGTACCCTGTTAACAAACCTTTAATGTGCTATTTTGTTATTTTATTTTTTAATTAGTGGTAAAATAGATTGCCTTTCTTTCCCCCTCACCTCCATCTGGATGTAACCTGACTCTTAGCTGCTCCCTGTCTCCTGTAAGCTGAACACACCACCAAGACAGTTTAAACACAATACGCAATATTAAGTGTTTAAGATGGTTGTATTATTAGTGGTGGTGTTTCGACACACGTGTTTCCAAGGCAATCCTTTTTCTCATCCCCAAAAATAATTATCCACGGTGTCCAAATAAAGCGGCTTAAACAAGTAAACAATGAAAACGCGTCTGTGGAAAGCCTCACCCAAGCAGCGCTGCTTTTTATTTCCAGAAACCCAAAACAAAGACGCAGAGGAGCTGTGGTTTCTACTGGAGACAAGTAAAGCAGGCAGTGATCAATCCTCAGCTTTAATTCCTTAATGGCTGCTCTGACCCTCTGGCCCTGTCTCTTCTCTGCAGCTCAGATTGTTTTTAAATGGCTTCACTTTGTGAAGCTCTTGGCTCCTCTGATTGCATTAGTATTGGGCTGAGCAGGGTAAAGGCTTTTGACGCAGCCTACATTAGTGTTAATTCATTGTGAGTGTGTGTGTGTTTGCAATATGTGTCTCTCCCTATGTGTGTGTTTGGTCACATGTGTATGTACTTGATTGACTGAAACATTGAAGTGATGGTGGTTTTGATTCCAGTGATTTTGTTTGTTTGTGTGAGATTGATTGAAGCTTTGAGCAAAGCGTTGATCAGGTCGTCCAGCTGTATTGTCATGATGATGATGTTAACTCCAGTCCACACCATGACCTGTCTGCCTTTACAACAGCCTGTTGTCCACTAAGAAGTTTCTTCTTTAAGTTAACTTTGTTTAACTCAGTCTCGGGGACATTTTTTAGTTTTTTGTGACTTGATGAAAATTCATGAATGCCTTCAGCTTGAAGGTTTTTTGAATGGTGTCATTAGCCTTGGTTAGTTTTTGCCATTTGCTTCACTTTAAAGTGTCTGTTTAAATATTGATTGGCAGGTCGGGCAATTAATTCAGTTTCCATATTTATTAGGCTGCTAATTTCACTGTTAATCAAGAAGTGGGAATGTTGTTAACTTTGCAAACAACGTTGTGTTTCCATGCACATGCTGAGGGAGAAGCAGGAGATCAGAATGACATGAACGCTTGTGACAGCACGACTTAGCAAAAGTATGTTCCAAGCTTTATAGTGGTATACATATAATTTGAAGCGCTATGAGATGACTTGTTGTTGTAAATATGCGCTATACAAATAAAATTTAATTGAATTGAATATATGTATGCTTGAGTTCAGTTTGAGCACTTGAGTGATCTAAATTGGCACAAATGAATCTTTAACTGCTCCATTTTTGTTTTTCAAAATTAGGTGATTCATTTAAACACTCAAACTTGTATTATCACGTCTATTTTATTTATTTATGTATTTATTTTTGGTGTGAAAAACCCCTCTAGACTTGAAATGGGATTAAAAAAAATGGTTGTATTATATCCAATTAAGCAAATTGTAGTTGTAACAAGCCATCTGTTAGTGGTTAGAAGTCGTATTCTTTGAAGACCGTCTCTGGTTATCGATTTAAACTCTAAAACTCGTCTCTGTGTATCAAAGTTAAATATTTAAACTGTGAAAATAGTCATGTCCTGCCTTAGAATGGCTGACATGTCACTCTACAGCTCACAAGCTCACCTACAACCCGACTCTAACACTGACACACCTGTCCTACGCTTACACAGTGGAAGTTGTAATATTGGGGTAATTCAACCAGACATGTTCAAACCTGCAACTAGTTCTAAAGAACAATGATACTGAAAACCTCTCCGTCTGTTGTTTCCTCTGTTCTTATGAAACCCTGGAACTCTGAATGTGTTTTTGGAGACTCTCATCTGTGACATGTGACTTTGGAATAGAAACGCTCAGCCGTGGCACTGACTGCTTGTTTCCAGCATATTGATATGTTAACAAGGTCAGAAATGAGATTTTCACCAGCGGGGGTCTTTAAGATTGATTGTTATCAAGTGGCTCCCCAGCACTTGACAGTTTAGTGCTTGAACAAAGGAGGGAGCATATGGATGGGGTGGACAATGGGCAAGTAGATTATGATGTACGAGTGGACTGAGTTGTTTCTATGGACACCGGGATGCTTCCCCCCCGACACTTATCACTGTTGAAATCTGCTGTAAGCGACTGAATTCAGGCTGTGCAGAGTTGCTGTCCTCCTCATATGAAGCAGTGGTTTCAGTCTAATCACAAACTATGACCAACCGTTAAGTACCTGTGTGCTAATCGCAGTAATGATTGTAGTAAATGTGGAGAAAAGTACATTTATTCCTGCACGTTCATGCATCTGATGGCAGAACTAAGTGTCCACAGCCATTCTAGCAGCTATGCTTAGTAGCTGTGCTTAGTCATGCTAACGTGCTCACAATGCTGGTATGTCAATGTTTAACAGGTGTGTTGTTTAGCATGCAGGTGGAAAGAAAGGTAAAGGCAGGGGATCTCCAAACTCATTACTGTGCATCATCTGGCAACTTTATCTGCAGAAAATGTTGTTTTCTCTGTAAAAATAGTTGTGTTAGTCCATCAAGTACACGTTTCCCCAACGTTCACGGCTGGTGGTGTTGAAAAGTTTTTAGCGTTTACCCTGCTGAGACTTTGAATGTCAGCATCAAGTTTCATGACAGTCAAATCAGTCAAGATATCTGACTGTGAGCCAAGGTAGCAGACGAACCACAAGACAGACATCTTTATCCTCACAGCCCTGCTGCCAGCGTGGATAAAAACTGGGTAATGGCAAGAAATGTTGATAACTAGCTGACTGGTGATGATAACAGCTGATTAACAAGGGCTCTTCTTGCGTTGTGGGAACTATCACTGAGCCAGAGCCAAAGGCACCACTTGGCAGAAACACTACTTTTAGTTCTCGTCTCCTTGTCTTGTTATTGGCCATTCTCCCCTCTGTCTCTTCTGTTCTCCTCTCATGGTGTAATTAGGCCATATTTTCCTCTTGCCCCAGGCCTGATTATTCAGAGCAACAAATGCCCCTCCTCCCATTTTCTTCCTTCTGTCACCCCATCCAGCTCCACTTGTATTATTTTACAGCATTTGCTTTTGCCAACTTAGGTCTGTGTGAGAAAAGGTTTGTGCTGTCCTTCTTCTGTGTGCTTTCTCTTTCTTTCCTCCTCCTTTATTCTCTGCTTCTCCCTCCCTGTTGTTGTCTCTCTCTTTTATCCCTCTTTCCTACCTTCATCAGTATCAGCCCCACTGACCGGCTCTTATGTAACAGTCAGGTGATGTGTTAAAGGCCGGCTGTCCCTACAGACACAACTTCTCCCTGCTTGTGACTCTTAGACTCTGTCTCAGTGTCACATTCATTCAGTTTCACTTTTGTAATCACTTTGATCTTTTATTCACTAAACCATATCATATTGTCCACAGCATATTAACAAAAACAAAATAGGCCTTAACTTAGAATATGTTTTATCAGTATGTTCAGAAACCGTGACGATTTGCCACTGAGACTATTATCTGCAGTAAGAATAATTTGAAGATGTAGTGAAAGTCTTTATCCCACAGAAACAATGGCTGAATAGATGTTTTATAAGCAGTGTTGAGAAGGTCCAGCAGCATCAGGTGACCAGGATGTACATTTCCCTGCCAGTTTACTTACATACACCTTTTCTTATGCAAAACATTAAGGATGACAAAATAGAAGTGTTTAGCTGTGAACATCATGACTCCTTTTGAAGACCGTCAACTGAGAGGCCAGAAACGTTCATGGAGGAACAGTGTGAATGCCTACATGAATTAGCTATTTCTAACTGAAGTAATTATTGACACCTACTTTATTCCCACTGGGCCTCCCACATATTGCCTGCAGGCATATTACAATGGTACATTGTTTTCATGAGTCACGAGCACACTCCCTGTCTGATTATGCACCGTGCAGGTTGTGTACATCTTCAACACATTAATTCTTGTCTGTTAATAATATTGTGGTTAATAATGCAGAGGAGCTCAATGAGTGGACAGAAGGGCACTTTTCACTCAGATTTTGACGCTTTTAATTTCCATAATTATCAGTCGCACTCGTGCTGTGTGGAGCCACACACGTAGGTTCAAAGCATCCTCACAAAAACACAGGCTTTACTATTTTTCAGATCAGATTTTGATCCATGAGTTTATCTGCATTTGCGTTGTTGAAGCACATCTGCTGTTGTTACTGTGGTGCTTTGATGGTTGCTGCTTCCATATTGCCAAGCATCACCATGTGTTTCATGCTTTATTTGATGTTATTTTAAACAGTAGTTTCTCTTTCTAGGTGCTGATATTTGCTGAAGATGAGTAGTGGGGGGGCGGACACCCCGGAGCCCCCCAGAGGGGCAGAGTCTCTGAAGAGGAAGGACTGTCAGTCAGAGCTCCTGGGTCCCAGGTGAACACCTCCATACACCCTCAGTACATCACTGCAACACCAACACATGCAATAATAACCACTACAAACTAAAACTTTGATGCTTAACACAACAACTAAATAAACACTGTTGAGACCTTCATTGTGTTTATATATATTTGCTGTCATTTAGAATTTTATCGTATTATTTGAGCATGAAAGAAAAATAAGTTTATTATCAAAACTGCTTTATCATCCAGCAGATAATTAGTAGTTTTATCAGAAATGGTGAGGTTGTTTATGGCTCCACAGGGAGGAGAGAAGGAGACTCTTCCAGGTCAATGAAGAAAAATGCTGCTGCTGCATTTTTACAGACATCATATTATATAAGAACAAACGAGTTGTAGGGACGATGCACTGTGTCTGAGCACCGAGGTTAGAACGAGGACACACTGATGTTGTAGTGAATTTGACTTACTGCTACAGAGGACGTCTCTATTTCTCACCAAAGAGAAACAGTCGCTGCACAAAGACATGAAGTCTCTCATATTTAATGAAGCATTTTCAGCAGCGTACTGTAACAGTAGAGTACAGCACACTGCAGCCATGCCCCGCTTTGGCATTGATTTGACATCATAATGTCGTACAATTAAAGGTGAAACAGGACATTCTGGTCCAACACATTTTTTGTTAAATTTGGTGAACATCTCGTTACAGTCACTACCTCTTTCTCCTCCGTGCTCGCTGAAAAAACCTCCAGTGTTCATACTTATAGGCAAATTCTTGGTTTCTGCACGACTGATGCAGACTTTGAAAGCTGACAGCGGACATGCTTGGGGTTTTATTCATGCTACAAAAGCAGACAGCTGCATTGCCCCTCATATTGAACACAGAAAAACATACCAGGGACTGTGGATGTTTTCATAGATTGGGCGCTAGCTCTGTGATTTTAAAAGGAAATAGCACAGGATTCCTGGAGAATTTAGCATTTCCACCTGTGTTCGGACATTGCAGATGTCAAAGTCCTACAGCAGCTGCTTCTAGTGCACCTTTTTTTTTTTTTTAAATCAATGAATTATAAAGGTGCTGATGACAGAGAAACTCCTCACACAGTTTTTTTCGTATATGATGCGCTAGTTTTAAGCATCAATTTATTGTCTTGGTTGCACTGTGAAGACCGTTTTGGGTGAATGACAAAAGTAAAGTCATACAAACCCTTGGAGACACACGGATGCACAAAACATGACTTTATCTGGCACATGCATGGCTCTCCAGCATGGCACACTTTACCTTTAACTAATGCTACAGCAGCAACTGTTAAGTCATCACGATGCCTTTCCTTCATTTTTGATGTAAATTCTTCGCCTCCTTTTCTGTCCTCCAGCCCGAAGAGGAGCACTGAGAGGAGAAACAGGGAGCAGGAGAACAAATACATCGAGGAGCTGGCAGAGCTGATCTTTGCCAACATCAACGACATGGACGACCTCAACGTCAAGCCGGACAAATGTGCCATCCTTAAAGAGACGGTGAAGCAGATCAGGCAGATCAAGGAGCAGGGTGAGCATCCAGAATAACAATGGTGACCACATGTTAATGCCAGTCATTGTGCTTGTGCTTGGCAAGCCAGAGCCACATAACTGTTGTTTTTTAGCCAGTTAGCATAAGTGTTGTCTGTAGTGTTTTCTCTGACTTGCCAGGGTCATATTTTTGCATGAAAACATATGTAATAATAGTGCAGCACAAACAAACAAGCTGCTTTTTGGTGAGGAGTCTTTTAACGGAGAGGAGATGAGTTAAATAACATCTAAAGAAAGTGGCTGAGGACGTGTTGTCAGAGCCCTGTTTCATATACAGAGAGAGTTCACTCGTATTGTCACAGCCACAAACATGGAGGAATTGTTAGAGGAGTGTGAGGTTCATGTAGGAAATGAAGCCTCATAAATAATCTAACATCTGTGTCAAGCAAAGCCCTGCAGTCACATAAAGTGAGAAACAAATGAGATGATATTGAAATTAGTTTGGGAGTTGCTCACATGTTGCACTTGTTCCACATTAAAAAAGTGTCGACGTAAACACTTGGCATTTATATCAGCAGTCTCCGTCCACCTGGGACCTGAGGTGGACTCACAGTGTGAAATGTAGAAGTGTGTGTGTAGACAGACTGTAATGACGATGTGTGTGTGATGGTGGTGAGCAGAGCTGTTATGTAACACTGACCAACATGATGTAAGTCCTCAGAGGGAAGCAGGCAGATCTGCCCTCAGCTCTGACTCTCCATCTCCCTCATTCCTGCTCTTATTCACTTTCTCTTTCTTCCTTTACCCAATCTCACTCTCCCTCTTTGTCTTTTCTCCTTTTACCTTTACTCTTGTACAAACCATTGTTTTCTTTAATTCCCTTCTATGTCTCCTCTTGCTTCCTTTTTCTCTTTTTGTAATCACCTTTTACTTTTTACTTTTCCTTTGCTTTTCTTTTGTTTCC